TATCATGATCTATGTCGTCTCTGTTAGGGCTTGATGTCAAAGTCAAACAAGGGATCTATGAACACACATAAAAGGAACTTTAACAAAAAGTAATATTTTTCAAGAGTTGCTTGAAGAACCCTAAACCCTAAACCCTAAACCCTAAACCCTAAACCCTAAACCCTAAACCCTATATCCTTTAATGATTAGTTTGTATGTTCTTTAGGCAAAAGAAAATTATCAAGAAGTTATATCTGGTTCCAACAAAGGTTTGGTCATTAGGTTGCTTTTAAAAAATGATCTTGCATATTACAGCTTCTTTTTGAAGCTGAAATAGCAGACCCCCCTGCCCCCCAAAGATATGAAAAGCTAGAGGCAGCACCAAAATTGGAATCATATGACAATAATAYCCAATTATGAAACAAAATATTTGGTAAAGCATGAAGGATGATTCACCATTATTAGATATTAGGAAATTGTGAAAACAAACTCAAAAACCGAAGCTAACTGAAAGTACAATGGATTGTCTAATATCAAGCCAAAGAACATGGTGAGTTGAGGGATGTTTGGCGGAGAAAATGTTTAGGTGGATGGATTCCGAGGTGTAAAATAGACAATGACACACATTCAGACATTTATCAGTTTACAAAAACATAAAGTCTAATTGATCATGCTTTTAGACTAAAACGTCATCCTTTAACAATTAGAAACTAAACAAGACTTTACAAATAAGCATCTTTTCATAAAAAAACAACACCTTAGCAAGGAAACCAAACAAAACGTACCCGATATATCCCTTCAAAAGTAGGGTTTGGAAGTGACAGAATGAACAAAGAGCTTTTCTCTGTCCTGTTTCAGTGAATAAGTTTAGCAAGTGAAGTCATTAATTTTCGTTTCTCCCTTAGTATATACTCTGTTTTTATGGTAGTGTATTGCGTATGGTTTGCTTATTACTTTTGATATGTCGTGTTAGGTTACCAGTGGAGTTGAGCGCCTTGATAACAATGATGCCATTGCATAGTGCCATTGCATCAGCATGCTTAAAATCAGGCTTATCATTAGAATCTGAAAGCTGGGGATTGGTCCCTCAAGGTATGTTTTTTAACCCTTTATTTGTTATGCGATAGTAATTATTAACTCAAAATTGTGAATGGATGAGTAATCTATTAACTACCATTAGATCATCCTCTAAAGTTCCGGTTATTGTTAAATTTCAGGTTTCAATGAGAAATAATCTTTATAGAAATTTCAATGCATCATGTTTCCACAAATTATGATTGTATGAAATGGATTAAGGTACTTTTAGTTTATTAAGTTGTAACATAGCCATAAATGAAAAGGAACTCTCATCTCTTTTAATTAATAAGGGGTCATAGATAAGGAAAAAAAACATCCGGTACCTTTTCCATGTTTCCTTCCTTGATCATCCGGTCAAATTTCAACATGTGTAAAAACATGGGGCAATACATAACGGTAGGGGATGGTTATGTAAATGTAGGGGAGTACATATATAAACTAAGATAGAAAATACAAATGTTATTGTTAATAACTATGAAGAATCATAAGGTTGAAGCCATAAGTTTCTTATTTTTGTCTTTTGGCTAAGTTCTTAGGGCTCGTTGTGTTTGAACTTTGACGGAATGTTTTTGAGGGATTTGGTTTTCGTGAAAGGATTTGAAAATTTTGGAATGGAATTGAATTCCATTCTTTAGAAATAACTTATGAAAATTTAAAAATATTTTTTTTCTAATTACCTTTTTATTAATTGATTATTACAAAAAAAATGGTTTTAACATATTTTAAAACATTATTACAAACAAATTCTATGAAATCCCGCTAAATACCAACTTCCTCCATGGGATTTCAAATCCAAGCATTCTTTCAAATCAATTATAGGATTGAAATGGAATTCAACTTCAAATCCTGCAAACCAATCAGGACTCTATGGTTATTTCAAGTCGGGTATGCCCTATCACGTAATGGTCTAAATAATAATGTATTTTTTGATATTTCTAGATACATTATACGTTATTAGTATCATTTATTTGGTTCTAACATTCTTACATGATCGATATTGCAGGCATTTCAATGCCTTTATGACGACACCGTTCCTGAAGCAGATGTTCGTATGAGTAGGAACACAAGTCGAACAAGTTCCAACTTTCGAAATGTAATGTGACTTTAGGATATGAAAATGTTGTGTTCAATGCGTTATACAAGATTATATTTGCTCAATTTTCAATCCTTCTTTTGATTGTTTCCCATCAACCTGAGTTGCTTGTTGTTCGTTTGGAAAATAAAGCATGGAAGTTGTAGAAAGGATCTATGTTCATGGAACTAAACAGTTGGGCAGGTATTGTCTTGTCTTGTCGTTTTCTGGATATTTGTGCTCTTTATCCGAGCCGCTTACCTTTCGAACTCCTATTATAACAATGCTTAACTGCTCATCTATACACGGGCTTTAGGGTAGGTGCTTAACGATAAGAGTAAAAACTCTTTTACTTATTTTATTGGGTAACGTTCTCAAGTCAACCAACAAAATGGATTGTTGGGTAACGTCTCTTTATTTGGTAAGCGCTAACTGGGTAAGAGTCTTCTTCATTTAGGGGTCGGTTACTAAACGCTTACTTACCGGGTGATTTTTCTTACCGGATGAACAGGGCAAGGGCCAAGAATTTTACCCGGTAAAAGCGATGATAAGGATGGAGAGTCTTACCCGGTAAGTGAGGGTGAACGCTTACCAGGTAAATTGTTGTATATGATACGTTTTGATGTACTACAATCTTACTCAATAAAATAAATTATAGTGTTAGACCCCTAATGTTAAGCACTTACCGGGTAAGCATTTAGGTAAACGGCCCCTTAGTGTGTTTTTGGTATTTGAACAAGACAATTGTTCAATATTTTGTAAGAGAGGTTTTGTAATGACCAGTTTCATTTCTGTATTTTGATTATTTTATTAAATTATTAATGAAATAAATATTTTTTTATATCAAAATATATTGTTAGAAAATTTTCGCCAGGATGATTAAAAAGACACCATAATATGAAGTTTATTGATTTTCAATTTTATTTTATTTTATTATTAATAATTAATAAATTAACTAAAATATAGAAAACTATAAAAACAATATTTTGAGATCATTAAAATGAAAGTTTAAAGAGAATAAAATACGATAAATAGAATTAAAAGAGTGCATGAAAGATATTGATACGTTTGATGTTTTAGAAGAGAATTAAGTTTTATTTTGAAGAGAGATTGATAAAATATAGAATTGTTCCACTTTGTTATATTCTGTTATGCATCCCTTAACTACATGTCTGGTCGATACAACCTGAAATGTAATATGAGGGAGGGTATGCACACACTTGGAGTTGGGCGTGGCTTCGTTCTTGCTTTGAGCTCTCCAATCTTTCATCAATGCAATAAACAAAAAACGTAATGCTACTTGGGTAAGAAAATGCGAATTTGTCACACGAGATCGTCAAATTTGATCAATTTTCAATCTTTCTTTTCGAGAATTTCCGCATCAACCCAAGTTGCATGTTGTTCTTTGAAAATAAAAATAAGGTTGTAGAAAAAAAAAAAAAAAAAACTCCCATAAAACTAAACAATCTGACATGTTTTCTCTAGACAAGATGAGAAGCGTGAAAGTGTGAACCCTCCCATCTTGAAACCAAGAGATCGGGCTTTTGGGCGTGGGGGCACAATACCCCCAATCAAAAGTCGTAAAAGTTCGATATATTTTTTTAAGCCCAATTCTCATGTGTACTCCAATCTTCTTTCGTTGATACTCCCAACCTTCTCCTCCGATTGGTGCCCGCAACTTTCTTTCGACAACTCACTTTCCTCTGGGACCCACTAATTGATTTTGGTGTTGTAATTCTCAGCAATTTTAATGCCTTTTGAATGATTTCGATATTTAAGACCGGCATTTTTCTTTTGGGATATTGTTAAATTTGTCAGATTATACATTCTTTGTTGCCTTTAATGGTGTCCTACTAAGGATTTCCAAATAACCAAACACGTTAGATCCAAACCTCACACCCCTAACCTAAGTGTGTCTCCAGTCACGTGATTCTCCAGATGAACCACAGCCTAAATATCCATTTTTCACATGAAACTGGTTCCTATTTGTATTTGTTATTCATACTATGGGTAACATTGCCATTCAAGATCATTAAGCACATTAATGTAGGAGTATATGATCACTAGGCATTAGGGGGTGTTTGAGATTGCTTATAAAAAACAACTTATTGACTTATTTCGGTGTGATACCGGTAACAAACACTTTTGAATATTTAAATAAACAACTTATACCGGTGTCAAACCGGTAATAAGGAATTTTTGAAAAAGTTAAAACTCTTCTGACTTATAATAAGTTGATAAGTGTTTTTGTAAAAAAACATAAGTTGTTTCAAATAAGCAATCTCAAACACCCCCTGGATGCGAGTTCCCAAACGATCCTAATACATTACCTAGGAAAAGTTCCAAAAAAATTCAACTTTCATATTTAGAACGATTAAGTCACTAAATTTTTCTTTAAAGAAATAAATTCTTGAAGTTCCTAAAATTAAACAAAAAAGTCCTTGAAGTTCCTAAAATTGAACAAAAAAAACCCTTGAACTTACTAAGATCGAAAAAACCCAAGAAACTTTAATATTTTGCACGATTAAGACCCTAAATGATAAATCAAAAACTATGATGACAAATTTGTATTAGATGAATTCTAGGGATCGAAACCAAGAAAATCAGAAAAGCACTAGGACCAAAAATGAAGTTCACTCTAAAAAGAAAGAAGTGCACTAAAAATAATAAAAAGTTGAAGGGTATAAAATGAAACTATTACCTCATCAAAATATAAGGCCAATCCGAAAGTGATGGCAACCCTTTTCTGTGACCAAACGGGCCACAAAATGGCCTTCTCCTCCTCCTTCTCTTCCACTTTCAAACCTTGTTCCTTCACTCTCTGCAACTCCCCCTCTACTCTTTCTTCCAACTTCAACACTTTCTCCCATGGCTTTCTCATCTTATCACCTCACAAACTCTCACCATTTCTTCAACTTCAACCACACATCTCATCTCCCATGGAAACTAAAGCTTCAATCGCAGGACAACATTCAAAATCCGCAATTAGTCGAAGGATTATCGACAAAATCGAACGTGGGTTATCATCTAAAGATCAAAGGGTAGAGAAAAAACCAGTGGAAATTGACAAAAGGGTTGTTAAAGAGAAAGATAAGAATTCAAGAAACAGATTTGATTCTAAAAAGAAGAGATATAATGGTTCTGGGTCTTCATCTTTCAAGTCTAAAGATGAAAATACTGCGAAAAAATATGTGAAAATGGATAAGGGGGATGAGGGTGATGATCCAGGGATGAAGAAGAGGGTAAAAAGGTCAAAAAAGGGGAAATTTGAATCACCTGTAGTTGTGCTTCGTGTTGGTTTGGAAATTTGTTCGAAACGAGGGGATGTTATGGGTGCTATTGGAATTTATGATTTAGCAAAAAGAGAAGGTATAAAGTTAGGGCAATACCATTATGGTGTCATCTTGTATCTTTGTTCTTCAGCTGCTGTAGGTGTTGTTCAGCCTGCAAAAAGTGGGAGATCAGACACAATTTCGAGCAAAATCGAGTTATCCAACTATAATTCTGGGAATCTTGAAGAACCTACCAAGATTCATGTGGGATTAGAGACAGTTTTTCAGACCTTAGATGGATTGATTCGCTTGATAAACGATCACAAGGACTCGAATTATAGAAATGGGATTAGAGTAGGTGAGGATGTTAAAGAGTATACACTCAAAAGGGGTTTCGAAATCTATGAGGAAATGGTTTCTGATGAAATCCCTATGACTGAAGCAATCTTGACATCCTTAGCTAGAATGGCGATGTCTAGAGATAACGGTCAAATGGCATTCGATATGGTAAAGAAAATGAAAGATTTGGGGATAAACCCCAGATTACGATCATATGGACCTGCTTTATCTGTTTTTTGTAGAACTGGAAATCTTGAAAAGGCGTTTGAGGTCGAAGAACATATGTTATCTCATGGGGTTTTTCCAGAAGAGCCTGAATTGGAAGCACTTTTGAGAGTGAGTATTGAAGCTGGTAGAAATGATAAAGTTTATTACTTGTTGCATAAATTAAGAACAAGTGTAAGAAAAGTCTTGCCTTCTACTGCAGATGTGATTGAGAATTGGTTTAAAAGCACGACTGCTTCAAGAATTGGCAGAAGAAAATGGGATGAAGATTTGATAAACAAATCGGTTGAAAATGGAGGTGGAGGCTGGCATGGGCAAGGCTGGTTGGGTAAAGGAAAGTGGTCTGTAACGAGATCGTTTGTTGGAAAAGACGGATTATGTCAATGTTGTGGTGAGAAACTGGCGACCATCGATCTTGATCCGATAGAAACCGAAAGGTTTGCTGAATCAGTTGCTAGAATCGCTAAAGAAAGAGATAGAAATTCAAGCTTTGAGAAATTTCAAGTAAGAAAAGCTTGCAGATTCTGATCTTGAGAATGAAATGAAAACCGAAATGTTCTAATAGATACCTTTTTGTCCATTTGTAGAAATGGCTGGATTACTACGGACCATTTGAGGCAGTCGTAGATGGAGCAAATGTCGGTCTTTTCAGCCAGAGAAGATTCAAACCATCGAAGGCAAGTTGTGGTGATTGTTCATCAAGGATACCTGCAAGTTAAAGATTTATTTCTTTTCCATAAATGTATATTCTTGATGGATTTTTAGGTGAATACCATAGCAAATGGCATCAGGCAGATGCTTCCTTCCAAGAAATGGCCACTGGTTATCCTCCACAACAGGCGTGTAACCGGGGATAAGATGGATGAAGGGGTTAATAAGACGCTAGTCGAAAAGTGGAAAACTGCTGATGCACTCTACGCAACACCTACAGGGTCGAATGATGATTGGTAAGGTTCGATCTTTGTCACATTTTCTTGGTTCTTCTGCATTTATATGTTGATTCGTTTGCTCAGGTACTGGTTGTATGCAGCTATAAAGTCTAAGTGCTTACTTGTGACCAATGATGAAATGAGAGACCATTTGTTTCAACTCCTGGGGAATGATTTTTTCCCTAAATGGAAAGAAAGACATCAGGTGAGCAATAACTTCAAGATTGATAGATTTATGTCAATGATCTAATTTTGTGTCTATGAACTATGATGGCCTCACATTGAACCCATAGAATCAGAAAACCGATTGTGGTTTCTAGTTATGTCAGACTCTGTGTATTCGATCACCATAAGATTTTAAGCTAATTTGTTAACGATCTGTTTCTAATGGCAGGTGCGATTCAACTTTTCTGATACGGGTCCAGTGTATCACATGCCTCCTCCATGTTCAGTTGTGATTCAGGTTAGTGTTCTCAATTCTGTACTTATCTGCCAATGTTTTGGTGTCAATGAATGAGAGAAAGCTATAACCATAAAGTTGTATAGAATTTTGGATCGAATGAAAGATAAGATGCATTCCTCTAATTGTTTTGAAACTCACCAGGAGTCGAGAAAAGGCCATTGGCATATTCCTATTGCTTCAGAACAAGATTCTGAAGAGGAGAGAGTGTGGCTATGTGTTACGCGTGATACTTCTAGTAAAGCTAGCCAAGAATGTATCAGTGTAGCCAAAGGTAAATGTTAAGTTTGATTTTGGTGTTATTTATTGGTCCAAACCGGAGTTAAGAACCAGATCGCATCTTGTTCATTTTCTTGATAGAGCTAATTTGTTAACATGCTTAGTACTTGTTCACTAGAAATGGAAGGAAAGGGACTTACAGGGTCTGCTTCTGGAACTGAAGCACAGTCGAAGGATGGCAGCCATGATAGCTATAAGCAGACACCTCAAGAAATCTGTGGAAATCTAAAAGCTCTTTTGCAATATCATCCTGTAAATCAAGATACAATTTTGACACAAATCACATCAGCAGAGAAGCATGGTGACTGTGTTATAGAATTTCAAATATGATGTGTTATGGGTGTCTGACTTTTAAGCCCTTGACTTTGACCGACAAGCTGAACCAAGATTTTCTTGAAGAAACCTACAATTGCATTCTGGGATTCTGCCATTTAATTCTGTAAGGGTCATTTTTGTAAAAATACATGTCGAGGGGTCAAGTTTGCATGCATCCCACATCCATACTCTAGGTCTCTACTTTTTAGTGGGATATATTGAGTTGGTTTGGTCTTAATTAATGATCTAGTCTGGAACTGGATTAGGATATCTAAAATACCATCATTTTGCTGCATTTTCCGATTGGGATTTTGGTGCCTGGCAAAACCAGAAATAAAAGAGATTGTCGCACACAAACATTACTGCAAAATTTCTATTTATGCAAAACCAACTTTCATCTAGCATTACAAGAGTAGATTCGACTTCAAAACTTATGGCTAGAGGTTGGTGTAACGACTAGAGCTAGATCCTTTCCTTCTACGACGCCTCTTCTGTCTGATTCTCCAGAAATTTAGTAGGAGCAAAATCCCTGAAATTTTTAAGAAATCATGAACATCTGATGACAACAATTTACCATAACTTTTCCATCTTTTTATAAGTTCACTAACCTAAAACAGCAACAACAGCAGGTACAAGCCAGTGACTTGGAAATACAACGGGTGCGTCCAGCTGTAAAAAGGAACGAATGTAATCAAACCGACTAATATATGTTGCCATCCGTTTTGTGGGTATCATCGTCTTTGTTTTTCTTCACACGGTATGACATAAAATGAAAAAATTGAATACTAAATGATACAAATGAATAGCAGCGAAACTTTCTGTTTTGTTGTTTTATTTTCTGGGAAATCATTGGAGTAAGGTTGAGTTACTTACATCATCTCTGTACAGCAAGCCAAGGAACTTGTTGCCTGAAGAATTCTCCTTGTTTTTGTCAAGGACCTTGGGACCCTTTGTGATGGAGATATCAGCTGAAGAATTCAGCCCCCTGCCAAGATCAATTGCTTTATACCCTGGCAATCTACGATTTCGTCCTCTGACCTGTAGGCCATACCCCTTTGTTCCCCACACATCAAACCTGGAATCACTCCTGCAGGTCAATTCTTTCCCAAAAACTGCAGAATATGTTGAGAAATTCAAATCAGTCCTACGGGATGGCAACTGATCGTCATCTAGGTGCAAAGGCACTTTTTGTTTCACTGAATTTGAGAACAGCACCGGGTCTTTGATATTTCTGCCTGTGAATTCTAGTATTTTCCGTAAAAGCCAATAACAGTTGGTAACCATATGGCTGCTGTCCAAACAATTGGAATCCCCATATACAGCAATTCGACTCCCTCCCAACTCCACTAGGCCCAGAATAGCCGAATCAGCCTGCTAGATTCAGACACACCATGACTTAGTGATTTAGCAACAATCAATATATGCCGAAAATAGCAAATGTTACAGAAAGTTGAAATTAAAATAACAGAACTAAGTTGATCACCAACCAGGTACATCTCAACAAGCAACTCAACATAATGGTTTTCAAGAGATAAAAATCAAATGTTTCCCATAGACTTATGTTTATTTACCATGGGGAAGGTTTCATTTGAAACCATGAGAACCAACTATTCATGATGAATAAATGCATGATATTCATGATAAAAAATATTCATGAATATTTAGGTATATTCATCACACATAATTCATGTATAGTTGGTTCTCGTGGTTCTAAATATTTACGGATCCTAAATGAACTTTCCCCTATTTACGATGGCAGGAAGATAGTAGGAAGGATGAGTTTGCTTACATTATCGGTACCAGATGCTAGGAAACTATGTGTGGCACCACTCTCTGAGCTGTCATAAAAGGGGAAACTGTGCACATACCCACCACCAGGGAATTTGGCAATGTTTGTCCCAGATGCATACCTGATCAGCTCATCGTTTATATTGAAATCACCATTTAGAATTCTATCTCCAAAAGCAATACCAAATGGTGCCAACAGATCATTCAATGCAGGGATATTCGCTCCACCGGTAACAGGGGTCCACCAGCTTCGTGTATTATCATCAAAAAACCTCATTTTGACCATTGTGTCAACATTGTACCAATCGGCAAATACAACCAAACTGAGTCCGTTATTTACAACATCATCTCTCAGCTTTTGAATCTCTTCTTCGAAATATTCATCTTCAAGATCCACCAGCAAAAGAGTCCCATACTGGCGAGCATCAAAGCACGTCAGAGGTGAACCAAGTGTTTCAACATAGTATCCTGCATCTCTCAACATGTTGAACATAATATGGAAATTGGTATGCAGATGATCCCCATGCCAGTCAAGAATGTCATTGCGGACATCCAAGGAGTCTCTTGGAATGTAACCGGGAGGGTATTTAATACTATGAAATTGATCCCACAGAACCCGCATTGATCTTGGAGGAGTTGGAACCACTTTCAATTTCAAATGCAGCACACAGGTACTGTGTCGAAAGGACTTCTCCCCTAAAGCAGGAGGGCTGTATATCTTCACTGTTACGTTGCCCTCAATCTCTCCAGAGAACTGAGCTCCTTCTTCCTTGATTTGCATGTGCAATGCAAGATACCCGGTCCACGGCCAAATTACGTCAGAATAAGTGAAATGAATGCTGAGAAGATTGCTTTCCTCATTTGCAGGATGCCATACTGGTCGACTTTCAACATAGCCAATTACACCCATTCCATTAAGTATGGTAGTGTTGAAAAGAACAGGCATTGCATCCGCATACAGTGGTTGTTGGCAAAATGGCCAGGAATAAGGGCAGTCTGTATAATCAAGAACACTTGGGAAGATGCTTGCTCGAGGCTTGTAGCACTTCAGTATTTCATATGATTCTAACCTAATATAGCATAAGGTTAGAGATGCTGCAACAACAATCCAGGTATTGTTTGATGGAAGTGTTTCAATACCGGTCAAATATCTAAAATACCAGAAGTTAATGACAAGAAAATTGGAATCTTATTAGGACAAAAATAAAGTAATCAGTATTTTGTAATGGTTACTGATGGGAAAAGAGAAGTTTGGATTAAATATTTTTGCTAAAAAAGTGAAGAGTGCAATTATTTTGGTACATCCAGAAAAGGAAATTGCTGCACCTATTTAGAGAAACTCTTACTCCCTGTCTTAACAGGTACAGCAATCTAGTGGTACCCATCGGATTACCATCAGAGCCCAGCCTCCCAGGAGGTCTAAGGGTAAAAACCTCACCAAAGGAGAGGAGGGTGCTTGAGTATTTGCTATATATAAAATATTATATACTTCAAAAAGAAAAAGAAAAAAACTCACAGATCAACCCTGCCTGCACCCTGCTCATACATATTAGGACCAGAAAGCTTTGCAGCCCCCTCAACTAGAGCTTGTTTCATGCTTGCTGGGTTTAGGATTTGTTTTCGATCACTTTCAGGGATGACACTGACGAGGAGGCACACTACACCAGCAACCACAGGACTTGCCACACTGGTTCCTGACAAGGTTTTACAACCTGTGCTAATCTTGGATCCCATAATTTCTCGTCCATAGGCAACAACATCTGGTTTAACGCGTCCATATCTAGTTTATGGACATAAGTTCAAAAAAATTGTCAGTGTAGACAACAGGCATAATTATATCCTTACATTTGAATTGGAACTATCCTGGAATATGATAACCACTTGAAATAATATAAAAATAGATTGCAGATAACATGCTCTTCAGGATAAACAAATATGAATAATAAAAAGAGAACAGAAGTAAGATGCTTCCAAGGGATTACTTGCCAAATGTAGAAGGTTTGTAAGAAATTGGATGAGAAGTGGCCATATGAAATTTGACAATTGCCATAATAGAGTGGTATCATACCATTCACATGCCCAGGAAGAGTCAAAGGTCCAAACAGTGATCAAAGTAATCACAGAGACCAATCAAACACATTTCCCCATATAAGTATTATTAAGGAAGGGGAAAGAATAAGAGAAGTCACATTTTCATCAAGTGAGAGCTGCAAGCAGTTTAATACCATCTCAAATCAACACATCACTACCTTAAGCCTGTTAAAACATGATGCAGCTGGTAGTAAATTTACGTTTTGTACAACAATGAAAACAAGACAAACAAAAGGCAAATTTAGATGGATGATTACCCATGAGGAATCTCCCAAGTGCTCATGCCACGTGATGAAAATGAAGCAATATGATCGTTATAATCTATACCACCAACACCAATAACATCACTTTGATCAGCGGGATTGTTGAGAGTACCATAAAGTGGTCCATCATTTCCAATTGCAGAGACCATTATTATATTGCTGGCTGTCAATTCCAGCACCTGGTAAACCAATTGTAGTGATAAGGTTAGTAACAAGCATCAATAAATGTTGATAAGAACATTCAGGTACAACCACAAAAAACCTACGATGCAAAGTGTTTTGTCATAATATCCATATGCATGCAAGTACCATGTTTTAAAATCCGCAAAAAATGTATAAGCACAATATCAACATGTGTGAAAAAATCCGAAAGCATGTATCATCCTCAATAAGATCTAGATTATCGAGAAAGATCCTTTCATATGCATAAAGGTGTTCTCTGTTCTCTAACTAATCCAAGTAAGTGTACCGGGTCAAGCATGGCAAGAACAAAAGGTCCAGACAGCTGTTGCGAACTAAAGCAGCATTCTAATTTCTAAGTTAAATCTAATGGGTAGTCTAGAGGAATTAATAGAGGTGTACATAGGATGAAGGAACTCAAGGAAGATATGCAAGTATAACATGGTGAAAACTATATAATTATTTTGGTCCCATCACACAAATCTCATAAGTATCGGTTATACCCTGGGCCAAATAGTCAAATAAGCAGGCTGAGGTACAAGTAGGTGAGGCATATATAGTAAGTCGGTGAGTAGCTGTACTTGGCATAAATAAGGGGCTGGAGGTGAGAAGAGGACATCGATCAGTTTTGGTGAGTTTGTTTTGGCGAAAGCATTGGGAGAGACCTGAGCCTCTCCAAAGCTACACCTATTCTAATAATCCAATTGATACCAATTACAATTATGTTTACTCAAATTGGTCCAGTGTACATCAGCATATATAATCTATGTACGCAATAGCTCAGTTGTCTTGCAGCATGTAATTAGAAAGTATCAAGCTAGGGTATGCATTCCTAGGAATATGTCAAATAGATTCTCACCTTCTCTACAAATGGAAGATCCAAGTAATCAGGGCCTCCAATGCTCAAGTTTAGAACATCCATATTGCTTGCTATTGCATAATTAAACGCATCTAGAAACCATGACGTGTATGACACCTGCAATAAGCTGAATAGAAACTTATCATTCTCTTAAAAAAATCATAAAGTTCAAATGGTAATGGAGAGAAGAGATCACATCTGAAAGGGCTGAGAAATACTGCGCCAAACTAGCAAGACTCTACCAAGACCTCAAACTTCAGGCCATTCATCAAAAATCTAACAATAGTCTCTTACTCCTTCAATACCGTAAGAATCATAAGAGCTACTCTCATAATAATTGATGATATATTTATGAGAAACTGTACATTATGCATTACCTGTGCATCTGTAAACACACGGAAAGCATAAATCTCTGTGTCTGGTGCAAAACCAAGGCATTCTGCATCTTCACCAGCAATCACTCCAGCAACAAACGTACCATGTCCAAGATTATCATTTAAAGTATCTTCATTGGTCCAATTGGTGCGCTCCTGACATTGTATATAAAAGAAAATGTTAGATTTTTACCAAATAAATTTGCAAATTCAACCAATGTTACAGTATAGTTCCATGAAAGGTACATTGCCAGTAAAACCTTGATATTACGGAAATGTGGATGATCAGAACGAATTCCAGTATCAAATATAGCCATCCTAACTTTTGCCCCAGTGTACCCTTTTGACCAAAGTGCATCTGCTCCAAACAAGGACGTAACTTGAGATTTCTGCAGGGAAGGTATACAAATCACACTATGTGGACGTTCAAAATACACTACGAGCATCTCAAGGGAAAACTAAAATGTGCATTAATTATTTATTTGTAAATCCTAATAATTAAAAAAATTCCATCATAAAGAAAAACAAGATTATAGCTTGTGGTACATGCATCGCAATCCTCCTCGTCTACAAAATGCATCCATTTAAAGCCTAAAACGATCAATTCTCATAGCAATGACTTCAACTTCAGTATCATGCAAGACCTAGTTTTTAGCATGCTCTAATCTAAAAAATAAGGTTGTCGCCATCTCCATCAGCTATACCAACGGGAATCCAACTTTTCAACACCATCCAAACCTCGATTCAGAAACTCTTTCCAAAATCTATCACATAAGCACAGCGAAGAAAATCGTGGATGCTTTTTTTGCTAGATTACTCAAACTATAACTGCATGATAAATTAACGTGTGAATCTCACCTAAAGACGCAATAATCACAGTCATATTAAATCCATCGTTTCATCATCGCATGCATTCAGTTACATAAGATCTTCCAATCAAAATTCTTCTCAAACAATATTGGTATAATGCATGCACTTTGCCATGTCAAAAATGTGGTAACACCACGCCATCTGTCCAACTGGTAGATAAGTAAAACCTATTTGGTCAAACAACCTCTAAGCCACGTTTAACAATCACCATCTGATGCTTTCCATTAAACTTTCTCATACTTGTAATCACTTCCATAATGCGTGGTTAACATTCATTACCATTGTACTTGGCCTTAGCTTTCAATAAACAACCATTGTAGTTTCAAAAATCCCGGGGAAAAAAAAAGAGAGAGCGCTGTACTTGGAAAACTTCTGACGTATTTCACAGAAGCTTCTACAGCTACAATTGTTTTTTGTGTTTGAAAGATAAAACCAAAAGCAATTGTTGGAACTGCTCAAGCCTTCGAGTTTCCAAGTAAGATGGTTTTTTACAGCTTCCATACGGACCTTCTTGAAAGCAGATGTTTGCAACCATAAATCTAGGTCAAACACCTCACAGCATACTCGTTTCCAATCCAGTTGACGGGAAGTACTACTCCTTGCCAGGTTAACGTTGGACAAACACAATTTTGTTGATGAAATAACACACTTTATAGTTGTTCCATACAAGCACATAAAGTTGATGACATATATTTCAGTTTCCCCATATAGCCTTGTCATATACAAGTTCCATACAATCCTCTAGCTTCCCCTGCTCCCTTTGTGTTCCCCTATAATTTCCCATGGATTTCATTTCCAACCTACCCCAACCATTTCACACTATAAGCTTGATCGAAATTTAACTTGTTAATTCTTTCCCTTATATATCCTGATTTGCCTAATAAAACACCCTAAGAAATTCGACATTCTAATCGCGTAGTACTGTCAGTTCAACAAAAATACGTCATCAACAAAAATTCACTCAAATTACCTGTGATAGAAGATGCCTTTGCCAATCAATTGTCTGGTTACTAGTCGCCGCCGCAGCCACATTATCCTCACCATCACCAAACGACATGGAAGTAAAGATCTTCCCAGGCCTCTTCCTCCCATCAGAAAACGCTCCGACTCTCTCATGTCTTTCCTTCTTGTTTCTACCAAGAAGGTTCCGTAACTGATAGCTCGAATCAACCCTGACATCTTTCACCATCTTCAGCCTCTCAAACTGCCCGATGATGGAATTCGCCGCCTCATCATCGATCTCCACGACTCCAAAGTCCGTCGGGAATCTAGAGGCAGGGTTGTTTCTGTTAATCCATTCCCAAGACAAAGACCCCTCAAACTTCTCCTTCGTGTTCTGCTCGAGATACTCCTTGTGATGTTCCGCTTTCTTGTATTCGATAAATCTAACTATGTAATTTCTCCGAACAACCGATTCTTGCTCTTGTGATAGCGATGACGCAGGTTCTGGTTTAGGGGTTAGGGTTTGGTTCTGAGGAGATTTGTTGACATGGAAAAGGGAGACTGAGATGAGGAAGACGATGAGAGAGACACTGAAAATTGAGATTTTAAATCTGTGTGCAATCGTCTTCATCATTTTGTCGCCTGCGTTTGATTGAATTGATCGGAATGATCCCTCATCGGAGTCGGCAATAGAGGTTGATTTTGAATCTCCGATCCGGTCCCTTTCGGTAAACACTCGACGGAAAAACGAACCTTAAATTGTTTGCCGTCATGAAGCTTTTCCTTTAAACTCCCTCTACTTTATATTTATTTCAAAATTTTGTTAAAACTAATTTTTATTGCAAAACTAGTCCTTCGTTCATCGATAATAAAACCGAAACCGTTGTATTATTCTTCCGATTTACCGAAATGATAAGTTTTTTTTACGAAGACCGTTAAAAGAGTTTCATGAATCAGATACGATTGTACGCATGTCATTTAAGGGTCTTAATATTGTTTCCGTTATGGAGGTTGAGACTAATAGAAGATGAGTCGGTCCCGAGTCTAAAGAAACGTTAACGAACTCAACTTACAGTGGAAGATGATGGTGAAAATAAATCGTATTCTAACTTCTCCTCGTCTAGCTGTCATCCGAACGTATTACCTTTTCTACATGAATCAAAGGACTTTGTATAACATATAATATTGTTCCTCGTTTTAAATTCAACGTGTTTCTTTTTATATCCTTCTTCACTGTTCTATTTTGAGTTTTGAAGCACGTGCCCTGAAATCATCAGGGTTTGAACGATTTTGTTTTTTGGCGAATGCCCAATCGAATTTATCGGGTCATGTAGTAACAAGATTCAAGTCTATCGGTCTGTTAAGATGTTTCAGCTGCATACATCACTGCATTTGTACTTGACACCTATCATAATATTAAACGGCTCATCTTGCCGTGACATTCTCTTGTATTTGATGCAAACAAAGAATTAATTCATTGTTTAGCCGAACGCGGATAAAAGAAACATTTTTTTTAGTCAAAGACCTTCCAGCCTAGTGGTAAAGGCTTGGGCATGGCATAGTCATGAACCCAAGTTCGAGCCCTGGGAGGGGAGTGTTGGCGACATTTAAGTGGGGCCATGTTTAGCCTCCAAATTTGCCGGGGATTAGTCGGGCTTTTACTCGTCAACTTGTGTGATTCTTCTACTTCTGAGACTTTTTGATCCACTGTAACGTGTTATTTATGGTAGAACACAAACATTCATCAATGTTGAATATTGCAACGTCTTGAAGCATCTCCGGATGTTATGTTGTAATTTTTCTAAAATAAAGTATCAAAATTCAAAAAATTAAAAAAAAAAATTACATCTAACTCGAACAGTTACTCTATTTTGATATTTATAGTATTAATTATGTTATTAAAATATTAAATAATTTAATAAAATATTATTTCCACTCTTATATAGAGTTTTAGAGATTTTTCTAAATTAAAAAAATCATATTCTCTTTTTTTTTTTTTTACCATACAATATAACGTAGCTGTTGGAGCACGAAAATTCTCATAAATCACCAAAAATTCTATTATAACATAATTGGTGTAGATGCTCTTATTGTTTTTCTAAGGCATAAATGTGTTTATTAAAACTCACGGTAAAAGGTCGTTTATGAAATACTTACTGAATCAGTTATTATCGGGTGAGCATAGCAAATACTGATAATCTTATAGACAGTGAAATTAATGATTTTTACTCGTTTAACGCTTACCCATAATTGTTTGAAATGAATGCTTGAAACAAATTGTTTAAAATGTATTCAACATTATGGAAATAATATTGAGTTGGATACCGCTTCACTCATCACGTCAACATGATAACCGGTTAATGCTTCAACCAGTTACCCGAGTACTTAAATGTTTACAACTTTACATCTTATGTACCAAAATGGAAGTTTTAAAATAATAATCAAGTTAAGGTACGTTACTTTTTCATACAATTTGCCATTTTTGATATTACAACATTAATTATATTATTAAAATATTTTAATCTTGTGCTTTCATACAATGCTTCACTCATTGTGCTTTCGATCGTTTGGGATGCATTTTCGTTGTTGGTGTGGGTGTTTTGGTTTAGTCATTCGTTTGTTTTGGGGCTTTTGTCTTTGCTCGTCGGTTTATTCAACCTTAGATTCCAACACAAAAATAGAACTCGGCGCAAGTATACACCTCGAACTACTGTCGTCTCGTAACAAGTAATAATGGTAAAAAGTACCAGATTTATMGTTCSCACAGAGATAGCTTGTAAAGTTATTTCAAAAAGTCCAGTTTATAAAAACTAATTTCAGAAGGCGAAATGAGGGATTTGATTTATCTAAAACTGGGTGGTTTAATTAACACTAAGAAAATGATCAATCTTAAAAAGAAGCACAGGGTGCAACAGTTGATTAAGACATTTAAACAAATGATTCAGTAAAAAGGTGACATAGCATTCCTGTCATAATTATCTAAAATCAAGAAATGATTTTATATTACTACGACAGTATCAACTATCGGGTCAGACGGCCTCCCAAGAGCACACACC